AAGCAACTAAGTAATGTATCTAACGTGTACACAGATCACATGCTATCAAACCGAAATTTCCGCATTGTTCAATGTATATCAATTTCTACTTCAGGTAGTAAGCAGACTCAAAATTGGCGCATGCCACTAGGCAGTGAGTTGTCGGGAAACAAAATGACGGGAGGTCGTTAGGTTCCGCGAGTTTATAAACTCGGTGTAAATTATTTGGCGCTTGGGCTTTCTCACCACGATACGTTGGCATTGGAACGTGATGTGCAGAACACAGTATCAGCATCCTTTACAGCCCTGATTGTGTGAGGAAACAGTGGCCCAAAGGAATGAGCATTTCGGGCCCTGAACCACCTTCTCATCTTTAAGCACAAATCGCCAACAGTGGTGAGTTGGGTGGCAGTGCATGATTCCGCATCCTCTTGACTCACTGCCAAACAGGCCTCCGGCACAAAGGACCCCATCACCTGGGAGGATTGATTAGGCAAAAGGACACGTCATGTGCTTCGGTATGTGATGACTGTTGGGGTCACGCTGTACTTTCAAACAACCCCATGGATTGTCCTTATTGCCTCACCTCGACCTTGGACAAATCAGATAGGATGCCTACGCCGCAGGAGACAATGCACCAGGAAAACAAGGGGCAGAGTATGATAAGTCTTTTAATCCGCATTATATTAACATGATTTGCTCCGAATGTTCTTCTAATCCTACGCGATTTAAATTTTATTTTTAAAGAGTTGAACAAATAAAGGCTAGCTTCTCATTATTGTACACAGATAAAATCGGATACAACCATTTAGTTCGCTTTCCGAGTCGATTTAACACCGTAACGTTCAATTGTCCTGTTGACCAGCTTATTCAGCTTGGAATAGATTTTGTTCTTCAATGCAGCAAATTTGATGGGCATGTATTTTCTTAACTTATTAACGATTTTCTTCCGAATTAAACCTGTAAAGACTCCACTGTTGATTAGAAAGCCGGCCACCTTGTTGAAGGTGCCTTTGCCCTTTATTCGAACACCTTTCCAGTGCTTGATTTCGACGTCTTCCAGATCTATGGAGAAGGTGGCGAAGTGGGGCAAGTTCGATGCAGACCCTTTGTCCAACGCCAAGGACTGTGAGACGCTCAGAAATGGAAAGCAGACACGGAGCCTTACATGAAGAACGAGGGGTTTAATTATCATTTCGAAGGGGTGAAACTGAAGCAAGCAGAAAGAAGGATGGTAAGATGATGGTCATTTGCTCGAATATCAGCCCCTTCTCCTCCAGTTTGCCTCTAAATTGCATAGGCTGGACAGCTACGAGATTATCCATAGAAGGCTGTCACCTAATAAACTTGTCATCAAAATCCTTAGTCATTTGAACCAGCGTGAATGGGAGTGTGTGATCGTGTGTGTGCGCCTTATGCATCTGCAGTCCAATTCGCCCATTCATGGTTCTGATTCCATGCATACCACTCACGTCAGGCGTTGCATGCAAATGCGATTGATGGAAGTTAAATTGCCAGCTAACCAGGTTCACGTGCTATGCTACAATGGCTAGGTCCACACTTAGCCCCTTAACATGGCGAAGTTGGCACTGGTAAGCATGTTACCTCAGCATTCACTCACCTTGGTCTTGAAGAACACCTTCAGCTTCGACTCCGCGCTCACTGTCAGCTCTCGGAGGCCAATGTTCAAGTCAATGCTGAAGCAACGCGTAGTCACCTTCCATCCTTCCTTCATGCTCTCGTCCACTGGAAGTGCTCTCAACTCCGGTACGCTGGCCTCGTAGATGGACTTGAGATTGTGAATGCGAATGTTCTGCAGCTCCACTCTGGACACTCGAATAAGGTCTTTGACTTCGAAGAAGTCTTTGCCGGCGTGCAGCAATCGCATCCCATAATCCAGGAGGACATGAAACAATCGCAAATTGCTACTGGTGGTGTTCTGTGTTCCTTCTGATTCTACGACCACCACCAACACGAGAATTGTGCCTAAAACTGGCAAATGAACCCTTTTAGTAACGATGGCCAAACTCACATCCTCCTCCTCCTCCTCTTCTTGAAAGGTTTACTCCGAGTCTGTGAACCCTCAGACCGAACAGGTCATTCAAAGGGTAAGTAGGAGGAGACTGCAGAGTTTAAGAGAGGGGTGCTTTTGCGAGGACCAATCGGCGTTCATTTTCTTTGTTTTTGAAAGGCAACAAATTGAGGCGTGTGGCAGGAACAAATGCGGTGACGCCATACATCCCGTGGATACGACTTTATCCTCTCATCTCGTGAAAACACCAACATCCTCCCACTCTGCCCCCTCCCCTTAAACCTGCACACCATGCATCACTTACAACATTCGTGGTTAGCACATTCTACATCAATTCAGTTCTAAAATCCCAAAAGTAAAAACTAAGAGGGCGCCTGATTGGCATACAAATGTCACAATTCATCGCGGGCTGCTAAAATGACCTCACAGTCACTATTACCAAACAAAAACAAACAAAATCCTTGCAAATAGCCTACAAGAAATCCGAAACGAGGAGAGTATGCAAGATGATTGAATGCACTCGCAAGAGCTGACATTGTCGTCACAATTGCGGTTTGCCTTGATGTGCATCAAGAGGCCAAACTTGACCCATCCAAAGGAGCACAGGCTCAAGAATCAGCAAAATTCACCCGACACTAAACTCACTTCCGATTTTGTGCTTGCACACATCGGGTAATCGGATAGGCATACGCTTACACAACAGATTCCTAAGTGGTGCTCCTCTCGGTGCCGCAACAACCCCATAGACGAGAGCTCCACCTACCAGTGCACCAACCGCCCATAGCGCCGTCGATATGATGAACTGCAATACCAATTTCCTTAAAGGTCTTCACTTCACCTTCTATTGGTGGACCGTGCTGCTAGGCAACAAAATAAACATTTCCACCTCCCATTTGTGGTGGCGCATTTACTGTCACACGAGCCACCTCGACGGCGTGTCCACGTCATAAATCAGGGCCATCAAAAAAACACTCTCCTTATTCATTCTCAACTACACAAATCTCGATACCGAAAACCCGGCGTGCAGAAAGACCATGATTGCATTGCCAATTGCCAGTTAAATGCGAAGACGCAGACACTAGATATGTTGATTAGGGATGGGCTCGCATACGCGAGTACTCCTGCCGCTGTGGATTGTGCTTCGGCTCTACAATAGCCAATGACTTCGGAGGCCTTCATCCATTCGCCACACCTCTTCTACATGACCTACCCTACCATCACGGATACCGCGCTACACAACAACATTAATTCCCTCCCTCTCCTCCCCTCCCCTCCCCTCCATTGGAAATGCCTGCAAATGGAGGTCCTCCCCACTTGCACATTTGAGGCACCACGTCTGTACTTCTTCCATGCAGCACGTTTGTTTCTCCTTCCACGTCGTCTCGGTTATGCGGAGAGGTACCACGATGCCACCGGAGAGTTGGGGTAGGTCTACTCGAACACTACGAATTTCAAATTTCGTTTCAAAGGTGGTTGAGGTCGTGACGCTAATGCACCGACCGACATTAGCAGACCGAGACATTTTCCCAATTCCGACGAGTTTTTGTTCTGCTGCTTTAAGCCACAAGCGTTTTGACAGGCAGAGGGTAGGAAGTCGCGGTTGTTTAGACGCCTGATCAATAATCCTATTTCCGCTGACACTTATGACACTTTTTTGCATTAGTCCACATAAATCATTTCACTTATTTCAACATATCAACATGCGACCAAGTTTTACCGACCCTCAATTCTCTAGCAAGTTTGCACTGCGTCTGCATCGGCAACACCTTCCTCCGCATACCACTGCAGTCTGGTCATCAGCTTGCGCCAACTACAGCTCATTACTGGCCCATAGTTTACACCCTAGGGAGTGCAGGGCGACCAAGCCGTGCTTCGCTTACCCTGTGATGTAGATAGCGAGGAAGGTCTAGAAAGTGGTACAAGCAGCTACACGTATCTGGTCACTTCGCACTGGCATTCTGACTAGACAGACTCCGTGTATTTGCAGAACTAAGTATTCGTTACTACATGCAGGACCAGCCTTCGTTTGAGAACACTAGCCTACGTGTGTGTGTGTGCGTGGTTCAGTTCGCTGTGCATACCATTGGTGGCTGGTGGGAGTAGCTGCAGTCACGAGTGGAATATGCTCTGATTCCTCTGGACTTGATGCTGCTGCTGCTGCTGCTGCTGCTGCTGCAGGTTACGCAATTTGGCTCGACGGTTCTTAAACCACACCTGAATTCTCGACTCGGCAAGATGGAGTCGCGATGCCAGCTGTTGCCGCACGCTCAGGTCCGGGTACTTGTTCACGGCAAACAGCCCCTCCAACAAATGAAGCTGTTCTGCTGTGTACATTGTCCGCTGGCGTCTGGAAACACCTTGACCTACAACAGAAAGACGAAGCAGTTGGAAGATCAAAACTACGGGTGGCATTTCTCTGCTACATAGCACTTCGCACTCCGTGCAGCTTTCCTACTGATGTTGTTAAAGTAACAACTG